GGACACACAAATGCTAAGAGGTTCAGACCCATGAGTCTTCATTTACCCCAAAGACTGGTATGGGGCCTGCCAGGCACACCTTCTGGACGTGCTTAGCTCAGGACACTGTCCAAAGCGTGCAAAGCAGGCACGAGAAAGCACAGCTCTGCACCAACAGAAAGCACAGGTGCTTTGCTAACAGTGTTCACCTTGTCATGCTAATCCTGCTTGCTCAGCCGAGCACCGTTCTCATCAGCTCTTCCATCCCTACAGTAACTTTCTGCCACGACCTGCTCCAACTCCTGACTCAGCCTGCGGAGGTGGGAAAATGCAGGACTTGGAAGGGATGTTCCTGTCATGGGCTTACTGGTTTTCTCTTAATAGAACTGGAAGGAGACATTAACAGCGCTCCCAAACCTCACCACAGGTTTCTTGTGAACCTGCCAGGAGAAAGAGCTGAGCCCAATGCCGGCGCCCTCACAAAACCTGCACACTTGATCCTCTTGCCTTTACGGAGGTGCAGCTAATGAGCACCAGACTGACTTTACCCACCAAGTAGATTTCGAGAAGGTAACAGTTTCCTCATATTTCTTATTCAGGAAGGACCAGGAAACAAAGCAAACTTTGGTTGACACCCTTCATTTTACTATTGTTTTCTCCTCTGCCTCAATTTTGACAGAACTGCCTTGGCCACGCATTCCATTGCGCTTTACACAGTGTAACCATGGCTCGGCCTGAAACACTAAATAAAATATGTTCAAATTAGGAAATGTTATGGGCTCGAACATATTACTGCAGATCACTGTCTTGCTACCACACAGCACTAAGGTACCAGTTCCCTTAGCAAAGCCCTGCAGCTCGCTCTAACACGATGTCAGCACCTTCTATAAAAAGCACCATCGGATCTCACTTTTTACCTAATGAAGAAAAAACTTTTATTAACATGCTGTTGACAGCCCTTGTAATTATGCCAGTTTGCCCAACTTCCAGTTAAGGCTCTGTTTCTGACCAGCTCGCAAAGATGTACAAGGTGGCTGGCTGAGCTCCCTTCCCTGCACATTAGTCACCACCACGCTTGTCAGGAGAAACGAACTTTGTTAATCCTACGGCGAAGAGGTTCATCAGACCGAGCCAATAACAAATCAAAGACTCAAAGAAGGATAGCAAGAAGAGGAAAAGAAAGGAAAGAAAGAAGCAGAGGACAGTAACACCAAGAATGCAGAAGGAAGAGAAAAGCTGTGGATAGGAGATGAGAAGCCAGAGGGACCAGGAATTGAAGAGCCTTGTCAGGAGCTTAGCACAGACACTAAGCCACCCCATCTTTCATCTTTAATGCACTGAGATTAAAGGCCTGACATTCAGATTAGCTTTATTTTGCTCTGGAAAGAAAAGTAGGGATATGACTGGCAGCCTGCTTGGAAGAGCAACTGCTCAAGGAGGCAGAGGGACATGCTCTGCACTGAAACCAACAAGCACATCCATCTAAATCAATCTTTCCTGTCTCTGGCTACCCTCAAGTAAAATATGTTTTATGCCCTCCCCTAAAGCCACCCTGTAGACACACGATATTACCTAGAAAGGGGTGTGAGATGTTGCACTGCAAAATTACGCTGACAACGGATTATTTTTAACCACAGACCCTTTCCTTTGGGATGCGCATGGTGCACTCTTAGCCAAATTCTCAGGTCCAGTAGCTGGGAACATCTTCCTTGTGCTCAAAGAGAAGCAATTCGTGCACCCTGCTAGTGCTTCCCGTGCTCCTAGTGCCCTGCAGGGCACTGAGAGCCCAGCGCGCTGCAGGCAGGGCTAGACCTGAACGAGCTGGACTACTGCAAAGAGATGGCCTTTAAATATGGGTATAATTCAGCACCCAGAATTTAACGTCTAGGTTAAATCTGAGTCATAAATTCTTTACAACCCTCATGTGTTAATTACAACTTGGAAGCCAGCTTCCACCTGACGCCAGCCCCGTGCGCCCACAGCCAGGCTGCAGAGAGCTGCGCTGGAGGGAGTGCAGGGTAACGGCACCGAACCCCGGCCTCTGCTCCCTGATTACAGGGAATGAAGCTTTGACCTTGTGACAGTCGAGGCACGCGGCTGATCCTCCTTTGCTTCAGTAAAGACATTTCGCAAAGTACAAGTCCCTCCAGTTTCCCTGCTTTCCCACATCGTGATCCTTTTAACGGAGCCTCAACCCTGAACCATGTAGGGAAACAAGGAGGTGGACTCAGTGTTAGAAGAAAGTAAGTTGTTTTCAGTCGCAAATCTTGGGCTGTTTTTTAAGGAGAGTTCAGTGACTGTCTAGTTATCAGAACACCAGCAGAACTTGAACCCTCTTATCAGTCTGCTTTCAAAGCCAGTTCTGCAGTGCTGAGAAGCATCCCATTACTCCAGGTCACTTTACATTTGTGTATTTAAGAAACACTGCAAAAAGCCTTGCTTATCCACTCTTGGCTGATTAAGGCCTTTGGCCTGAAGGCTGTACAAGCCTACTGCTCTTAGCTACCCCTTTTTATGGCTGAGAGCAAGTGACAGACTCTTGCTATGAGGCACTCCTATATTAGGATTCATGTCTCCCCATACTGAAAGACAGAGAAGTAGTCCTTATTTAGTTCATGTAGAGGACTATCTGGGTCAGAACAAAACTGGGAACAGTACTAAGTGTCAGTCACTTTCCCTGTATGGATCCCAATAGCTTTGTACACGGGCAATCAGAAACTCACCAAGAGAAACAAACAAAAAAGCAGGATCAAGGTTGCTACTGCTGCAAATAACAGGATAAGATTTATGCAACTAGAGTAGATCGAGTTATCTGTCAAAATCTTTCAGAGAAATGACCAATTACACAAGATTTATGTATTTCATGATATATTGGAGACCTAGTTTTTGTATGTTTGTTTTTGTGTTTTGTTTCTTCTACAGCTCTGCGTTAATATTGCTGTTTAGGAGCTCAAACATCCACATCACTTCCAAGCCTCACAGCACAAAATGCACTGACACAGTTTGTACCAACATAATTCCTGTTTGAGGGTGGGCTGCCCACTCAGCTGCTCCATTTTGCTCACCAGAAAGTTCTTATTGGCACAGCAAAACCTACTCAGTTGTTACAAAGATCAAGACAGGTCTGGCATTTGTCACCAGGAAAAAGGAGAGGTGCTTTCCCATGGGCGAAGGGAAGGTGGTTTATGGGGCAGTAGCAAGAACGACCCCAAGGTGCTTCACAATCATCTTAAACACAAAGTCACCTCTCTCCCTACTGCAAGTCTGAGATCCAGGAGCCCTGGGGAAGAAGCATCTCCCCAAAAGCAAAGACAATCACTGACAATGCACAATACACTGAAGCTTCGAGAGTCAGGTTGTCACTTTAAACGCATCTCCACGCTTAACAGCAGAAGCTGCCAACAATAGAACGCTGATGCTGTAGTCTGGGGCACCCAAATCCCTCATCAAATGTCAGGTTTGGTATCTGCTTATGCTTACGAAGTACTTCCACCATCCGACTGCCTCTGGTTTTCTTTAATAAACGCAGCGTAACAGATAGCTTTTTACAACTTTCTGCCTGTTCAAAGTTGACGTCCAAGGACACGAAAGAAATAAAGCGACCAGTATCACAAAACACCTTTTGTTACTAGCCGGGTAAACCAGAACTGCAAACACAGTTAACATTTCAAGAGGAGAGAGAAGAGCCAGCTGCTTCCCTTTCCCCCTTCTGGATAGGTCTGCAGGCAGGACAGGCGGCGGGGAGATGTTAATCTGTTAGAATCAACATTTTAAAGACCAGAGCCATGTCAGAGAGCTTGAAGCCTGCTCCAAACCTGCTACGTGGGCCAACACATTAAAGCACAGTCTGTCCTAGAGACTTGGCTTTTCACAGTGATTTAATTTTACAACCTTTCTCTTGATTTAATTCTACAACCCTACCCCGACCACCAGGTTACGTGTCTTTTTTTACAGCCCTTGAAGTCCCCTACTTGGCGTGAAGTAGCGTGTTCTCCCCAGCCTGGAAAAGATCATCTTATGAGCCCATGGCAGACTGAACACCAGCTAGCTCTGGTTTGCTGCTCTCACCATGTAAGTAAGCGTAACTCTAGGTCAATAACTGGGGAAACAGGGCTTCTGCACTGCAAATGTGTGCCTCGTGAAATAAGCAAGTCACCCGTCCTCAAGCCATCTTCCTCTGCAGATGAACTACCAAAAAACTGCATTGGAAAGCTTTGATCTTTAAACAACAGCAACAGCTCAAAACAAAAGAGAAAAACAAGTTTTGTTTGGGACATTTATGCTTGGCCACTCAGAGAGCAGGAAACACTGAAATACCACGGCGACTCCTCCTCAGCAAGCTCACACTACCCAGACCGAGTTCAAGAGCCAGTATCACAGCGCAAAGGCTGCAGGCTGGGAAACCTTCACTCGGTGCATCTCAGCTGCGGCGTGCCTTGCAAAAGCCGGGTTTTTTATTTTATTTTCACAAGGCACTCCCGCTGCTGTGGCTTTCCCACATCTCCGCGAGCAGCAATCAGTCTCAGCCCGCGGCCCCAGACCTTCCCACATCACCATTCAGAGATTTGCGAACTGCGAGAAACAGATGTTCTCAGCGCATGGCGCTCTACCCGAGCCCAAGAAAGACTAGCGGCGGGGGGAGGGAGGGAGGGAAGGAGAGAAATCTCATTTAAGCAAATATTTCTCCCTGCCCCGCTGACCTTGCAGTCCCGGGGTGTTTCCTACCAGCCACGCCAACACACAGCCCGGCAACTCCAGCCCGCAGCCTGTCCACCCACCCCTCCGGCTGCCTCCCAGCCGAGGGGGCTCCGGTAGCTCCGGAAGGGTCCCGGCCACCCCCTTGCAGCCCAGCGGGGCTGCGGGGCACCGCTCCCGGCTACCGCCCGCCCCTTCCCTCCGCTCTCCCTACCCGGGGCAGCCCGGCGGGGATGCTGCCGGGGGGTACCGCCGAGCCCCGTCCCGCGGGGGGTTGGCTGGGGGCCCCTCTCCCTCCCCTATCTATCCCCTTTTTGCCCACCGACCTTTGCAGGAGCAGCAGCAGCAACACTTCGCCAAGAGCCATCCTACACCGGAGCGGGCGGGATAGCCGCGCCTGCCCGCTTTCATGCTGCCTTCGGGCTGCTCATGGCAAGGAGCCGCCGGCCCGCTTGGAGAAAAAAAAAAAAAAAAAAAAAAAAAAAGAAAAGAAAAAAAAGACCAGGGACGAGCGGCCGAGCAGCCGCTGTCCCCGCGGAGCCCTACGCGCACCTCCAGGGGCGGAGCGGGGCCGCCTTATGCAACGGGGCGGCGGCGGGCGGAGCGCGGCCGCGCAGCTCCCGCACCCGCGGGCGGCCGGGGAGGGAGCGAGGGGGGTCCGCGGCCGGCCGGGCTGCGGCCTCCCCCCGCCAGGAAAAGCCCCTGGAGCTGGGCAAGGGGGCTGGGAAAAGCTCCGGCAGCGCGCAGCGGGCGGGAGGCAGCCGAAGGTTGTTGGGAATAAAGAGCTGCCTGGGAGGAAGTTTGCCGGAGCTCTGATATGTTGCGGAGAGGGTTTCCTCCGAGGTTTTCAAAAGGCAAAACTTGTGTCGCTGCTTTTTTTTTTTTTTTTTTTTTTAAATGAACAACTTTAAATTTTTTTTCCCCCTCCAAGCACCATTCCTCAGCTTTAAGCAACTGACAGCTAAAACCTTTTACTTGTTGGAAGCACCACCCTGCCCAACTGCTCTGCCAGCCTGCTTTCTGCAGGACACCTGCCTCAGGCACCACAGCCCTTTTGCTCAGGGTAAGCTAGGTGCTTACCCTTCCAAAGCACGGATCAGCCTGCGTGAGATCCGAAAGCACTGCTTGCTTTGGAAGGTGCCAGCCTGTCACGTTAGGGTTTTCCACCTAAAGCACGGAAAACTGGAGGTGCCAAAAATGGCCCAAACCTCGCTGGAGGCAGCTGGTAGGAGAGGTCGGGCAGGATTCCAGAGTGGCAGCATCATAGCTTTTGCACACTTGTATCGAAAGCTGAACAAACCCAACAAACAGCTTCTCCCAGGCATAAATACACGTAGGGAGGGAATAGCTGAGAGCAAAGATGTTGCTGTGCTTTGTGCCACTGTGTGCCAGGACTTCAGCCTGAGCCGTCTGGCTGTATCGATGCCATACACCGGGCGTCTGGACTAAGGTTTTGGTTTGCTGCCTAACTGCTTTGGAGGAAGCAGCACTTCTGTGGGGCCAAGGGGTGGTTTTGGACAGGAGGCTTGGGCTGTGGCTTCACCACTGCTTTCACAAACCCTCACGAGGTTGCACCTACACGGTGGGTGACTGCATGTTGCTGCCAGGCAGGATCCTTCAGACCCTCGAGCTGCCCTGAAGAGTCACCTTGCACAGCCCCAGGCCAGCAGAGTGGCCGAGACCCTCCCCAAGAGGCTGCCTCCACCGCAACTGCAATAGAAAACCTCCCTGCCTCGCTTCTGCCTGCAGTGTGCAAGCTGCTCTTTGACTGCAGCCTCACTAGAAGCACTGGCAACCTCACAACAAGCCTGCAGCATGCAAAATTTTCCTGCCCTTGAGCACCACAACGCTGTTCAGTACATAAGGATGAAGTGAAGCTTCATTCTGTCTCCCCTTCACTGTGTTGTGTCTTTCTCTGGCTTGGGGCTTTGCCTATCTGGGAGATGCACGGGAATGTCTCGGGGCACAGGCAGGGCTTCCTGAGCCTGCAGCAGGCAGATAATGCATCTCACCGGGAACAGCGGCCTCAGCAGCAGCTGGAGAAGGAAGATGGGGATGGGGAACCAGCAGGGGCACCCCAGCCCTTCTGCCCCTCTCCCTTTCCCCACAGCCTGGGCCAGGTGTGGTCTCTGGGGCAGGGGCAGTCCCTCACTGAGGGTGCACACAGCACCTAGTACACTGGAACCTTGCTCTTGGTGTGTTTTAAAAGCCATCCCAAGACAAACTTTAAGACTCCTTGTTTAAGAAACTAGAAAACATTCTAAAAGAAGCATTTAACTATTTAATTCCCATGCCTCTTGGCAGAGCTGACCACTGCCAGGATAAGCTCTGCAGGAGCTCAGGCTGAGCAGTGCATGGGCACAGCATCCCACGAGGGCACAGCACCCCAAGTGTGCAGGATCCCATGAGGGCACAGCATCCCACAAAGGCACAGCATCCCATGAGGATGCAGCATCTCATGAGGATGCAGCATCCCACGGCAGCGCTCGGATTTCCTCAGCTGGCTCCTGCAAAACCCCACGGACCTGGGAGGTTTGAGGGATTCACAGGGACATCTAGTGGTAAACCCTAGCGGCACGGAGAACAAATCCCAGCGTTGCTTGAGGGAGCCAAAAAGTTCATTTCTGATTTCCCTCAAGGAACGCTTGAGCCATCAGGCCAAGAAAGAGCATCTTAGAGATACAGTGCACGTTCCACCAACGGCACATGGCAATAAAACAGTGCTTAGAGGTGAAGTTTCAGTAAAGCAGTGCTTACAGGTGAAGTTTGAGAGTCTCAAGAGGGCTTTAAAACAAGTTTGTAGCTCTTGTAATTGCAACTGAACTTTAAAACCTAATTAAGATGCAATCTCTGCTCTGAAAAACTGTTTGCTTAATTAAGACAGAATTGAAGTCATTATTCGGGAGGTGGGGAGGAAGCAAGCTTTTTTTTTTTTTTCCCCCTTTCTCCCCAAATGTACAATGCTGGGAATATTGTGAAGGCTATATCTGAAAAGTTACTCTTTTAAGAAAGATACACCTATGTGTATTCACTGATGAATTACACATACAATAAATATTTAATAAAGCAAGATATGAACGGAAGACATTTTTAATAATCACACCATTTCAATTAGCTCCCACAGTGCAGAAGAAGAGACGTGCTGTGGGCACAGTCTAGCTCAGCTTCAGCACCGGATGAGGACAAATTCTGCCCTGAACATGAGTGGGAACTGTGCTGTCACCTGCACTGGGCCTGCAGCTTCAGACTGGGAGCTCAGCCGTCGGGAAGTAGCAGCGTGGCAGAGATCACATTGGGAAAAATAATTCTGCACAGTTCACTTGCCCTAGACAAGGGCTGAGGAGGCTTTGCCTGGGATTAGAAAGGGTCTTAACCTCACTTCCTATGTTCAAATTATATTCTTTATGTTATTTTTGGACAGGATGCAATAATGTGTGGCTCTGCGGTCCCCGAATGGCCTCCATGTCCCCTGTCGTGGAAAACATTCCCAGCCTTGCTCTAAACCAGCCCAGCTCTCAGGATTTTGAGGAAACACCTCCCGGCACCACGCTCTAAACCCAGCTGCTGTTATCTGCAGAGCAGTGACCGAGGAAACGTTGGGGTCCTGCCTCGCCCCAGCTGAAGCTGAGGCTATTAGCAGTGTGTCTGCACCGCAGGCCAAATGCGCTGCCCTGTGCAACACCGATGATGGAAGGGAAGTCATTTGAGTCAGGATGATGAGGAAATTAGTTCTGTCTGCTCTTAAATACAGCTTCAGAAAATTCCCCAGGCATGAGTTGCTTCTGTATGAAATCTGAGAGAGTCTGCAGAACTGACTTTTGCTGTAGAATGGAAATAAGTTCTCCCAATTTTTTACACAGTCCTCTCATGGAAAATTTGGGGTGAAAGTTGGAACATATCAAACCTTACACTGTATCCAGTGCTCTGTCGTACCTGAAGAGGCTGCTTAATTGTCTTAGGTTATAAAGTGAGGGACAAATCTGAGGGAAACACAGGGCAAAATACCTGGTGGATACAACAGGGTCAACAGCAACGTGGAGAAATACGCCTGGCCTACGTTGCCTCAGATGTCTGTCATGCAGGCCAGCAGTGACAACGTTTGTCACTGTAACAGGTGCTGCTTCCTTCCCCCATCACATAAAGATAGAGATAAATAACATAATGGCCATCAGGAGCATCTGTTCGTTACTTATGCGAGTCAATCCTACATCGTGCTTTGGGGTGTAAAGCGATCTCTGCTGAAAATCCATCCCCACGGGCACCACCATCAGGGAGCGAGGTGCATTATGGCTGGTTTATTTTTTTAGTCCAATGAAGCTTAAGTATTAGCCACTCATTTCTTATGAAGGAACAGGGAAACAACTGTCTTACAGAAATAACTCACAGATGGCAAAAGGGAGATGGATTTGCCCAGTTTTAAATACATCATTGAATTATGTGATAAAACTTGCAGAAACAAACAGTGCTAGAACGTGCATGAAATTTAAGCTTAGTTAATAAGGAGAGCTAGGTACCTCCGCAGAGCAACTCAGATGCTGTGGGCAGGACAGTAAACATGGATGTGCGGAGAACCAGAACGTGAGAAACACCAGGAGCAAGGACTCAGCAGCATTTCTTTTCTGACTACAGCCTAGTTTCAGCTCATGGAGAAATCAAGAGTTACACAGCAGCTCACAGAGCCCAGGAGACGCTGGGTGACTTGATTCATTACCAGCTCTCACACTCAATTTCGGGGTGACTTTGGGGAAAAAATGTGCGCAATAAAAGGATACTACCATTTCTTGTTCCCCTCAAAGTGGTCAGAAACAGAGGTTAGACGTTCTGCACTGAACAACAAGAAGAGTTTTTATTGTTTGATGTGTCTTGATATGAGGGTGGCAAAATACATGGCTCTGATGTTATCAACTGTTAGATATAGTATTAAAAAAGCTCTTTGATCAATATGCCTTGCCTGCTAATGCTACTCACAAAACCAGGTAAATCTGAACAACTGGAAGGAAGGCAGATTGGCAGAGTGAAGCAGTCCTTGCTCAACCAGTACATTGCAGTACATTATTCTTGGCTCTGGCTCCAGCTATTTTCAACAGCACTAAACATTCATTAGATTAAATCAAATGAACCACGTTCTTTAAAAATAGCCAGAGCCCTGTCATGCCAGTTGGAAAAAACAACAACTTTATTGGGTATTAAAACAGATCAAATAAATTAAAAATAAATAAATAAATTGAGTCACATTCCCTCCTGGCGCAAGAGAGCACAACTCCAAGGAGAGGTTTTTGGCTTCTCAATTCGGCACAGTGGTAGGTAAAAAAAAGAACATTCTCAACTAGCTAAAACAAACAAATTAAAAAGAAATATAGACAGCCCAGCACAAACTCCACGCTGAACTGCAGTGTAGGCATATGTTCAGCAAATGTTAGGGTATATCATTCCTTATGCCTCTGCTCTAGACAACAGCATGGGATTGGCTGATGACAATTTAGAAGAGTTGCATGGCCAAAGAGCATCCTGGCCAACCAACTCTTCTGTAAAGCCTTGAAGGCCACATCCAGACCTGTCTCCCCTGCCAAATGCTCCAATGTGAGATGGGCCTCACCTTTCTGTGCTACACCACCCATTTCTCTCAAGAGTCACAAGCCCCCCACTGACAACATAACTTCTCTTTCCTAATTTACAACTCATCCTTTTTCTTTTTCTGCACTTTGTAAGAAGGAAGAGCCCAAGACAAGAAGTCCTGTCCTGCTGCCTTCCTCTGACACCTCAGCAGAGGCTCTAGTGCTTTGGCAAGGTAGGGACAGCTTCTGGCAAGGCCTGCCCTTGGGCCAGCAGAGTGGTTTCCCCGAACCCATGAGCCGTACCACCAGAGGAGTCAGCAAATAGCCTCCCCTCACCAACCA